CTCGTCTTGTGGGAGTGGGCGTGGCTTTTTTTTTTTTTTTAATCTGTCACCAACAGAGTGCATATGGTGTCTCTTCATATATACCAGACAGTTTGGTAATTCAGCCTTATCCTATTACGGTGTCTTACGTCATGCCTGTCAGTCCCTCTGGAAGTGTTGTACACATTGCTTGCAGCACCTGTGCAGGTAGTGTGATATGATTGGTCACTTTGAATTGCCTGGTACTAACTGTGAGGCTTCTTACTGTCTCTCAGGTCTCCAGACTGATCACACATGCTTGGCTGCAGAGCAGTCTCAAGCACACACCTCCAGCATGTATCAGTTTGTATAGTAAATGTTAGCACCTCCGACTTCTTTATTCTTTGTAGCAGAAGAAAATAAAGTGGAAGTTGGTTGTCACCTTGGGTGACCGGGGCTTGCCCCCTGTTGGAGGTCAGGAGTCAGTGGAACAAGCCCACTCTGTGTAGCTTGCTCGGTGCTACTGATGCACTGTGGGACCAGGAACACCTGCAGAGCCAGAAATGGTGCTCCCTTCTGCTCTCATGGTAACCTTCACTAAGCATCCGTTCACCACTTGTTAGCTACAGGATTCCCTTTATAAATACGTTTTTAAAATAATATGCGTACATTTTAAATCCACCTTATGTTATTTCCAATGCCATGGTCAGTCTTTTTCCCTTCTCCCCCTACAGCTTTTGCACAAGGATGCCCATTCGTTTTGCTCCTGATATCATTAAGGATTGGCCTTGAAATAATTGGAAAGTATCACAAGTTCACCATAGCAAATCAGTGAAAATGCCAGGGAGGGGTGAGAGGGTATAAAGACATACAAACCTAAGATGCTTGTGGTAGTATTTGTGTAGAAGAATGTTACAGCTCTTAGTTTCATAAATAATCAGAGGAAGTATTAATATCATATTGAGACTATTAGCCTGAACTCTATGATAGCTCTTTACTCTTCCTCTTTCTGTAAGGTCAGTAGTTTCAATATAGTGTTGGACTTTTGGGTGGCATCCTGGGACTTTTCCTGGCAGGTGTCCTTTTTACACCCCTTTCTAGTCCATGAGCCACTCCAACAGGCTGCACTTGAGTATGTTTTGGAACAACTGTGTCAAGGTTATTACTCTGTGTATAATTTAAAATTAAAGTAAGCCACTATTATTCATGGGAAGAATCCCAAATTCTTTAAAAAAAAAAAAAAAATCTGCTCCAAGAAGTAATTGAAAAAGTTGGGTCAAATCTTAGGGTCATGATTGATTATGTAAGAGTCAGGCAGGCTTGGATACCAAGCACGGAAATATAACATACCAAGTATCAATCTTGGTTAGTTTCTCTCATTTGGTCCCCAGCACATGGGTAATCGAAGAAGTCAAGTACAGGTTATATTCTGTCATACCTCTTTACCTCCTTCGAGATTAGCAGTGCTAATTTATAAAGACTTTGTTTTTCAATTACAAAAATAACTGATTTATACTGTTAAAACATCAGAATACATTGAGGCTAAAAGCCTATTCTTTCACCACCTGCACTGGTTTTTACTCCCCAGTGGTGCAGTCCTGTTAACAAAGCAGAAAGGAAGACTTTTCAGTACACTGACCAATAAGCTAAATTAAGTGGCATTCAGAACACATATGGAAATATCTGACAGGTATTAGGGATGTTATTGTTGTTGTGCTCAATTTTATTATTACGATACAGATTTTTTTTTAAATAGTGAAATTGCAAAAATAGCCAAATGAGGTTTTAAAAAGTAAAGAGAGCCCATGAGATAATAATCAGAAACTTGTATAAACTATAAACAAAAATAGTACAGTAACATCTTCGCTGTTTGGAACCCTGGAAGAATTTATATAATTTCTACAAATTTGATATTTTCTTGCCTTTTTTGAGGAATTTTAAATAGAAATTTTATGGGGGGAAAGGGGATTTTAATTTGCTCTTCTTAATTATAATGGATTTGTTTTCATGTTTTGGTGACAACTGAGTCATCTTTTTGAATGTCGGTTACTGTCCTGTGTTTAAAAGTGGCTGATGCTTTCAGGACCTTTTGGTGCATGTAAGACTTAGGTGCCTGGAATTACCCCAGCATCACCTTGCCTTCCGAAGCACTTGTGTTAGAATATATTGTACAGTCACGTCTGTGCTGTGCCACTTAGCGCTGTGGTGGCGGTGAGCAAGGCATTTGGGCTCTCAGTGTGTGTGTGTGTGCTCTCATCTCCACGTGGTACGGTGGTGTCTGCCTGGCACTGTCCTTACAAGGTCCATGGAGTGTGCTTAGAGGACTCACCCGCCACTTCTTCAAAGCCACACAGTGTCATGGGTTAAATACAGGCTTCCCTGCACTGTCAAGAACGTGAGAATACCCAAAGGTTCCAAGTATACAAGCTGTGGCTACAGAACGAGCTCATAAGGTAATCCTGCAAACTGGAGGCTGAACAAAGTATAAAAGTGAGTGAGGGTTGAAGTCGGGCAAGGAGGCCATTCAGAAAATGAAAGCTTTTCATTGGAAAAGGCTGGATATTTTAATGGTAAGAGACCCAAACATTGTAATGACGTTACTCAGTTAAAATGGTTGCATAATCACTGAGTGATTACAGTATTTATGAATCAAATTTTGATTCCCATGGTCTCGTAAGTATTCTTGAGGCCTTAATGCCCTTGCCCTGCTGCATGCAGTACAGGAAGCAAGGGAGCCAAAGTTTCCCCCAGAGTGGTTCAATTCAGGCAGAAAAACATCGTAACCTGGCATCTGCCCTCCAAAAGCTTCTAGTTGGGAAGATAGCTACCTGTTTAGAGCAACAGGAAGTGCTAAGTGGCCAGCTCAGAGTAACACATCCGCTCTAACTTGGAAGAAGGAGAGGCCTGTAGAAGAACTCTGAGCAGGAGGTGGACAGTTAGGACTGGAAAGAAGAGCCAGAGGACTCAATGGGAAAGAGGTGGTGATCCCAGCGGGCACACCCTAGGGGCAGGCTGGTGTGGGCCAATGGTCTGGCACATTCCGTCTCAGGACCCCTTCACATTAGGAGAAAGTATATGGGACTCAACAAAGCTTTTGTGATGTGGGTTTAGCTACCAATAGTGACCACATTTGAAATTAAACTGCACAAAAATAATGAATAATTAGCATTATTCATTAATTATTACTAAAATGACTTACCTATTGCATGTGAACAGAAATAATATACTGTTATGAAAATAGCCATGTTTTTTAAAACAACTCTAATGAGAGGGTGGCATTGTTTTATTTTATTTTTCCAAATCTTGAGTGCCTGGCTTCATAGGAGATATTATAGCTGGATTCTCCTGGGTGCCTCTGAGTTCCGTTTTGGTTAAAGTGTAGGAAGGCATGACTGGGAAGAGGAGTATTTTAATAGTCTGCTCAGATTGTTGGGGATGTTTCCTTTGAGATTACACCAAACTTAACAATGGGTAGTTTCCTGAAGGAACCTGCAATGTGGAATCTAAAACCATATTAATAAGCTGTCTGTACATTTCATCACATTAAAATTCAAAGGACTATTTTGCACTTTGTTTTTTGGGTTTTTTTAAAATATATTTTATTGATTTTGTACAGAAAGGAAGAGAGAGAGAGAGAATTAGAAACATCGATGAGAGAGAGTCATCGAACAGCTGCCTCCTGCACAACCCCTACTGGGGATATGCCTGCAACCAAGATACATGCCCTTGTCCGGAATTGAACCCGGGACCCTTCAGTCCCCAAGCCGACGCTCTATCTATTGAGCCAAACCGGTCTCGGCCTATCTTGCACTTTGAATGGCTCTTTTGTCCTTGAACGATATTGAAACATCACTTATTGATCCCTTGGAAAATATTGGTCACTGAGTTACACAAATCTTCTAAGACAGTTGGCAAATCATGGACAGATTTCAGTGCCTGTATCAATAAACCCCATTGTTAGTATCCCCCTGATCTCATCCTCACCCCGAGAAGCTGTCAACCTTGCCCTGGCAGATCATTTTCCAAGCTTCCCGGAATTCTGGAAAGACATACAGAGCTCCATTACTATCCAACTCTTATCTTGACCTGCTAGATTTATTTCTTAATCTTGTTTCATCCTAAAGGATAACTGAAACCAATGTGTAAATACGTGGAAAGCTTTTAGGATGGCACCTGACCCAGGCAGCACTCAGTGATTATGTTATTTGCACTTTTCTGTGTCGCTGCCATCATATGTAACGTGTTGACCAGAGCCCAAAAAGAGGAGAGGAAGGTGCTCTGTGGAGCACCAGGGTGTAGGCTCCCGCGGGTGTGCAGCAGCTCATCTGGGCAAGCTTCAGACTTCCCTGTAGCTTACAGCAGCAGCAGACCTGAGGGGACATCTTTCTTTTTTTTCTTTTTTCTTTTTTTTAATATATTTTATTGATTTTTCACAGAGAGGAAGAGAGAAGGATAGAGAGTTAGAAACATTGATGAGAGAGAAACATCGACCAGTTGCCTCTTGCACACCCCCTATTGGGGATGTGCCCGCAACCAAGGTACATGCCCTTGACCGGAATCCAACCCGGGACCCTTCAGTCCGCAGGCCAACGCTCTATCCAGAGCCAAACCGGTTTCGGCTGAGGGGACGTCTTTCGTGTGACCTTTTCTTACCTTGCCTGCACCTGTGACCAGTTGTCATGTTGGTGTGAGTGTCCCTGCCCCTCATTTGCCTCTTGTTCCCTTGCTCACATGGTGGTGACTGGTGCTCAGGAAATATTCAAATGAATGCATTTAGAGGGGATTTGTTTTGAACAGCACTCAACGTGGCTTTAGGCGTAAGAAATATTGGAATTTTATCATATGAAGCATATGATCTGAGCAGTGACTAGAGTGTTCTTTTTCATTTATTTAAGAGCTATTTAACCTCTGTTCACCGCATCCCACTACTTTTTTCTTGAATATTTATTCAGACTAAAAATAATAGAAACCTTAAAGTGTTTCGCAATAATTTGGGGTTAAACATTTTTTGCGATCAATATTCTTTGTTTTCTGCTTTTCAGATGTTCCTCCTGCTGAACAAGAGAAGCTTTTTATCCAGAAATTACGTCAGTGTTGTGTCCTCTTTGACTTTGTTTCCGATCCACTAAGTGACCTAAAGTGGAAGGAAGTAAAACGAGCTGCTTTAAGTGAGATGGTGGAATATATCACCCATAATCGGAATGTGATCACAGAGCCTATCTATCCGGAAGTGGTCCATATGGTAAGTGATTGCAGCTTAACCAGCGCGTCCTGACCCTGAGCTACACTAGGACTCTGACATCTTAGAATAAGCTGAGATACTGAAGCCTAACACAGCCCTTCCCACAAAAAAGTCCTCCTGTTCCAGAGTTTGTGCTTCCACCTTGAAGAATGGAAATCTTTGCAACGTGCCCTGGATTATCGTGATGATATCAGTGAGGGAAATCGGGTGCCTTCTAGGGACCCATTGAAGAGTTAAATTATTTAATCCTGCCAAAATCTGTTTGGCTTAGTGGATAGAGCGTCAGCCTGCGGACTGAAAGGTTCCAGGTTCGATTCCCGTCAAGGGCATGTACCTTGGTTGCGGGCACATCCCCATTAGGGGGTGTGCAAGAGGCAGCTGATCGATGATTCTCTCTCATCGATGTTTCTAGCTTTCTATCCCTCTCTCTTCCTCTCTGTAAAAAATCAATAAAAAATATATTTTTAAAAATTATTTAATCCTTACAGTCACTAAATGGGATAGAAATATAAGAATTTTTATTTCTACTTATTATCTTATCTTTAAATTTTTGTATGTGTTTTAATATACATAACCTTAATATAATAATGTCCGAATATAATATGGAAGTAAACATGTTATCCATGTACAGGAAAATTCTAGTGGTGGGTCCAGTGCAGATAGTGGTGGGACCCAGCTGGTATCAGGATAGTCCATCCTGATTGGCTGAGCCAGCCTCCATCTGTCAGTGCCATGTCAAGACACATCGATCTCGTCCTCCAGTGAACTCATGGCTAGTTTCATTCAGCCCACATCTCAGTCTCTGCTGTCTCCTAATCACAGCCTGTTTCGAGTTCTTTGCATGCTCCCACTGTGACCTTCGTGGGTGCCACCTGGAAACATTCCATACGAGGCCTCGAGTTATTAAAACTTACTGTTTGCCACTGAACTCGTTTCTCATTCTTTTTTGAATTGTAGATATTTTATCTGTCTTTGAAATTAGTACTCTTCAGTTATGAGGGAGTCCTTGTTAAGATAAAATTTCAAATTCTTATTTTCATTGAACTCCTTACATTCAGAGATTCTTCTCCTCCCACCCCTGGCCCCCGCCCAAAGCTATATATTTCAGAATTGACTAGACCTGTTGACCTAAAATGTGTATATTCCTCACTTTTGTATGTTTGCTTTGGAAAAGAAGATGAGAGTAATGTTCATTTTGTAATTCACAATCTGTTACGTCAGGAATTGAGATCAATTTGATTATTTTAACATATTATTGTAAACCCTTTAAAGTTCCAAATTTACCAGTGTATTGTCAGACTAGGGCTGTGAAGGCCGAGTAGGTTCCTTCCCCAAACGCATACCTGAAGATTAGTCACAGGTACATTGTGACTGTACCTGTGACTAATCTTCTGAACGGTAGATACTCTAAAACCTTACCCATTTACATTAAGGAAGATTGGGGAATATCTTTTTTTCTCTTATTAATTTCAATTTTCAATTACTTTGGAAGGCCTCCCAAATCACAAAGAAAAATCTCTGATATTTTCTCCTCATACCTCCATATTTTCTTGTTCATAGTACACTTCATAATCCTCCTGGAATTTTATTTTATTTTATTTTTTATAATAGTGACTTTTAAAAATTTTCTTAACCTTTAACATTATTTGTGGTGTGTAGCATACATACAAAAAGGTAAATATAAATACATATATAATTTAAACAAAATAAGCATCCATGGACCTACCACCTGACTTAAGAAGCAAAATATTGCTAGGGCTATGAATATGCTTTTTTTTAATTCTTTATTGTTTAATGTACTACATATAGTATTATATGTCTCCTTTATTCCCCATTGACCTCACCTGGCCACCCCATTCTCCCAGCACATTCCCTCACCCCGCTAATGTCTGTGTCTATTGGTTATGCTTATATGCATGCATACAAGTCCTCATCCTCCCCTGCCTTCCCTCTGAAGTTTGACGGTCTGTTCGATACTTCTCTGTCTCTGTATCTATTTTTGTTCATCAGTCAAAAGTGAGATCATGTAATACTTATCCTTCTCTGACTGGGTTATTTCGCTTAGCATAATGCTCTCCAGGTCTATCCATGCTGTTGCAAATGGTAAAAGTTCTTTCTTTTACCGAAACCGGTTTGGTTCAGTAGATAGAGCGTCAGCCTGTGGACTGAAAGGTCCCGGGTTCGATTCCGGTCAAGGGCATGTACCTTGGTTGCGGGCACATCTCCAGTAGGGAGGTGTGCAGGAGGCAGCTGGTCGATGTTTCTCTCTCATTGATGTTTCTAGCTCTCTATCCCTCTCCTTTCCTCTCTGTAAAAAAAAAAATAAAATGTATTTTTTTTAAGTTCTTTCTTTTTTACAGCAGATAGCATTCCATTGTGTAGATGTACCACTGTTTTTTAATCCACTCATCTGCTGATGGGCACTTAGGCTATTTCCAAATCTTAGCTATTTTTTTAAATTGTGCTGCTATGAACATAGGGATGTGTATATCCTTTCTGATTGGTGTTTCTGATTTTTTGGGATATATTCCTAGGAGTGAGATCACTGGGTCAAATGGGAGGTTTCCTTTTTAATTTTTTGAGGAAAGTTCATACTGGTCTCCACAGTGGCGGCAGCAGTCTCCATTCCCACCAGCAGTGTATGAGGGTTCCTTTTTCTCCGCATTCTGACCAGCACTTGTTTGTCAATTTGTTGATGATAGCCATTCTGACAGGTGTAAGAAGATACCTCATTGTCATTTTGATTTGCATCTCTTGGACGATTAGTGACTTGGAGCATGTTTTCATATTTCTCTTGGCATTCTGTTATGTCCACTTTCGAAAAGTGTCTAAGTCCTTTGCCCATTTTTTGATTGGATTGTTTATCTTCTTTTTGTTAAGATGTATGCGTTCCCTATAAATTTTGGAGATTAAGCCCTTACTGGATATAACATTGGCAAATATATTCTCCCATGAGTGGGCTTTGGATTTTTTTTTTTAATGTGATAGGTAGGAATTAAACTTTATCATCTTCTAAAATAATTGAAAAATCATTCATCCTTACCCCATGTATTGAATTTTCCATTTTCCACATTGATTTACGTTCTTTTAAATCAAATATATTAAATTTATTTTATTTTAAATATTTAATACATAAACATTATGTATTAAATTTGTAGACATATACATTTATTCTATGTTAAATCACGTGTATGGAAAGTTTTTCTGTTCTTAAGGAGTCTTGACTGTTAGCAGCCCAAGTCCCGTCCTTAACGCAAGAGAGTAGATTCTGCAGAGAACCAGCTTGGCTGGCCTGGTTTAGATCAGGTGCCTGCCCTTCACCCAAGTTCAAGCCCACCTGCTGCATCAGTTTGACACTCACATTTCACGGGGGCAGTGTACATTAGTGGAACCATTTAGCGTAGTTAAGTCTTAAAAACTTTTAGTTTTTTTTAAATAATTTTTATCACTTATTTTTTTATTCCCATTCCCACATGACATTTCCTAGATTAAATACTCCCCACTTCTCACCCTGTTAAAATCCTGTTCTAACACTAGATTATCTTCCTGCTGTCTTCACTGTGCTCCCCACCCTGAAATTCATGCTTGATTTCGGGATTGAACAGTGTGCCCTCCACAGCACTCAGCAGACACTCAGTGGGCATCCACCGTGGCCTGGTGGGTGAGGAAATAGAGCAGTGGACCAGATTTCTGCCTGCCCAAAGCTTTGCTTCACATGGAAGACAGGCCGCAAGTGAGCCACCCATCAGTGCATCACTTAGGTGAAGAAAGTAACGTGGGAAGAGGACACGCGTGCAAGATTGCATGTGTCGTGTGGGGGAAGCAGGGTGCAGAGAGAAACCTTGGGCAGGATAAATTGGATCATCGCGTGAAGATACGTGCTCGTGGCGTGCTTTTCTGTGTCACTGAGAGAGCGGGGACAGTTCCTTCTCCCCTCCCTGCCGTGACGAGGGAAGGCAGGGGAGAGCGTGGCCTTTCTCTTTGGGGAGCTTCGGGAGTGGAATGAGGGATGGGGCAGATAGGACTCAGGGTTTTACTTGCTGGTGGTGTTTAGCTCTACAGACGGAAGGCATGGATGCAAGGAGAGAGTATGGTTGAGTGGTACCAACAGTGGTTCTGATCCTCTCAGTAGAATTTGAGCATCCAGTAGGAGGCCTCTGTCCAGCTGCGCCTGCACAGGCATGCCTGGAAGAAGAGATGTGGGCCCCTCAGTTCCATTCACATACCTCAGTGTGCTCGCCACTGAAGCAGCACCTGCCAGGCTTACTTGAATGAGAGAGGGGAGAAGGGGTGGTGGGAAGAATGTGTGTGGTTTTGTTTTATAATAGTATTTTTATTTTTTAATTTAAATTCTTTATTTAAAGTATTACATAAGCCTCCATTTTCCCCATTGACCTCTCCCAGGCTCTCCTACTCCCCCCCCCCAGCACATGCCCTCCCCCCCTGCATCTGTGTCCATTGGTTATGCTCATATGCATGCATACAAGTCCTTTGGTTGATGTCTTTTTGTAATAGTATTTTTAAATATTAATTTCCACTTTCCAAAGCTCTAAAGATATTATAATCCTTATACTTGCTTCTTACAAATATTAAACTGGAGTGCTATATATTTTTTTCAAATATATATCTTTATTGATTTCAAAGAGGAAGGGAAAGGAATGATGAGAGGGAATCATTGATAACAACATTTGATTTATCCATTCATCCATTGATGAAGGGTATTTCTGCTGCTTGGCAGTTATGAATAATGTTGCTGTGAGCATTGGTCTACAAACTTTTGTGTGCAGATGTGTTTTCGTTTCTCTTGGGTATTTACCTAGGGGCGAACTGCTGGGTTACATGAACTCTGTGTGTTTAACTTTTTGCCAGGCTGTTTTCCAAAGTGGCTGCACCAGTTTACAGTCCTCAGCAGTGTATGCGGGTTCCAGAGTCCCCACATCATCGCCAACACATGTTATTGTCTGTGTTGATGTCTTTTTTATGACAGCGTCATGGTGGGT